TTTGGTGGTTATCGATATCGTCTCCCATTGTTAGATACGCACGTGTGGTGCGATTCGTCTCTCTTTTTTGAGGCTGAGAGCCTGTAAGAAAATAGTAATGTGATGTATTGAATCATTGTTCATTCACTATATATAAATAAATTACAAAGTTTCATAATTAAAAGATAGATGGTGACAAATATATATATATATATATATATATATATATATATATATATATATATATATATATATATATATATATATATTACCCGGAATGTCTTTTTGATGAAACTGGTGGGCTTTTTGATGTCTAGGGGCTTTGGTTGATGATGATGATGGTGATTCCATTTCATGATATGAGATTTGTGTAATTTGCACAAATCTTTTAAGGATGCTGTTTTTTTGATGCAAAGATTTCTTTGGGTATTTGCTGTTTCTGTGTCTGAAAGATCTCCCATGAGAGAGAGAGGAGGAGAGAGAGAGAAGGTTGAAATTTGTAATGAGAGAGAAAGAGGGTATGCAACAAGAAAGTTAGTTGAATGGAAGTTAAAAATCAGTTTTTGCCCTCTATGGTTAGATATTATCTATTTTTAAATTTTATTATGTACTAATTGTTGGATAGTATTGTGTTGTGAGCAAGGGTGAAAGTCGAATGGATTAGAATAGAACTAGCCTAAAATTTTTATATAAGTATAAAATCAATTTCAATTCTAATTCTATAATTTTCGGAATTTAAAAATTCATTTCAATTTCAAAAGGTTGGGAAATGTCGGAATTTCGGAACTCACATAATAAGTTTTAAAATTTCAAAATTAGTAGAAATTTTCTGAAAATTTTATAATTTTCCAAAAATAAGAACATCCACGTCGATAAAAATAAAACTAATAACTAATAAATTTCAGTTAAAAAATAAATAAAATCAAACGACATAATAATATCCAATAAAACTTCTAACAACAATCAATATGTCAAAAATCCAAAACAAAACTCAAATCAAATTATTGTTTTAGAAAGAAAAAAAACACTATTCATAAGTATTCTATATAATATATTATGTAGAGGTGTATTTTTCGGGAAAATAATCGGTTTTTTTTTATTAATTTGGGAAATTAAATTGGATTAGGAATTCAAAATTCCAATTTTTTTATATAATTCATCCAGTACAAAAAAATCGGAAAAATTCGAAAATCAGAATTTCAAAAGTCGGAATTAAAAAACTCGTTCCAAAATCGAAACTTTTCGGATCGGATATGACAACAATTGGAATTTTAGTTCCAACTTGCACCCCTAGTTGTGACTAATATATTATGACATTCTAAATTAAAATAAAGTAGGGTAAATTGTTGCTATTCCCTTGAGATAATGTCAAATTATGAAAAAAAATCTCTCGTGTTTGTGTAATTACAATCACACTCATCAACTATGAATCTTCTTACACGTCCACCCGTATGGTGTCAAATTTAGAAGAATCTTTTAGATTTTAAGGAATGTACATTTTCTAGTTTATACTCGTTTTGTGCACAAATACCGTTTATGATGCACCACAATTTGGCATTACAAAGTAGACACATCTTATGATCATCTTGTTTCAAAATGTGGAGCTGAAATAAGATAAAATGGGTACAAATTGGAGAATATTCCACATGATTTAAGTGGATTCCATTAAATTTGGCACCGCGAGGAAAAAATGTGTAAGAAAAATTTCATAGTTGACAGGATCGGTGGTAAGTAGACAAATATAAGAGGGTTTTTTTTCTCCGTAATTTGACATTATTAACAATACAAATTATTTTGATAAGATCGTCTTGAAGCCAAAAATACTGTATACTATTTTTTTCTTGATTTGCATTCTTGCCCTTCTTACCCTTTTCGTCTTTTTCCCTCCAATTTCCTCGGCAAACGCAATCGCAAAGTGCCCTTTGGATCTCGATTACGTTCTAACAATCCCATGGAACACCTCCGATTGCATAGGGTACAATCACAACCCAACAAACAGTTCCGGCGGCCCCAACGCCGCCGCCGCCGCCGCCGCCACAAGCAGCTGCTGCCAAACACTCCTCTCCCTCTACGGCGTATCGCTCTCGCAGCGCCTCAAGAACACATCCCTTTTCCAACTTCCCGATTTGCCCTCCTCGGTTTCATGCCTCGATAATTTCCAGCAAAAGCTCACCTCCCTCTCTCTCCCCTCCGCCCTCACATCACTCTGTTTCGACCCTCTTCAGTTCGTCATTTCATCGAACACCTGCGCCGCAATCCAGTCCACCGCCGACTGGTCGGCGAAACACGGCAACTCCACCGCCGTGGACGCCTCCTGCTAACCCGACCTCACGGATCCCACCTCCTGCGACGCCTGCGTCGCCGCCGGCTTCAGGGTTCATGCCGATTTGATCGCCATCGACGGTGATACATCCCACTTCGTCAACTGCTTTTACTTCACCGTTCTTTACGCCGCCGGAATTGTGAATCAGCACCGGCGCCGTTTCTTGCATCTTCGGCCTCTCAATTATCAGCCCTAAAAAGGGTTCTTCCAATAAAGCTATTCTGCTATCCTTTTCGGATTAATTGCCGCCGCTATTTTCGCCGGCCTTTCGATATTCAGTTTCTTGGCATTGTACGTACGGCGGCGTAGGAAAAATCACGCAGAGGGGGAAGATCAAGTGGGGTCCACTAGGCCAAGACGAAGGCCGACCACCATTTCCGTATCGTACAAAATCGAAGAACTCGAGCGAGCCACCGATAATTTCGACTCTAGAAACCTCATCGATAGAGTCGGCTTCAGTACAGTCTATAAAGGCACATTGTCCGACGGTACAATCGTAGCCGTCAAGAAAGTAACCGAATCCGATATTCAAGAAAACGAAGTCGAAGTAATCGGCACTCTAAAGCACCGAAATCTAGTCCCGATCAGAGGATGCTGCATCTCCGAAAAAAACGAGAAATACCTCGTGTACGACTACATGCCGAAAGGAAACCTAAAAGACCGTTTGTTCAGCTCCGGAGATTCTCCGCTGATGTGGCGACAAAGGAAGAGCATAATTGCTGACGTGGCGAAAGGGTTGGGGTATCTCCACTACGGAGTGAAGCCCGCGGTTTTTCATGGAGATCTTAAAGCGACGAATGTATTATTGGATAATGATATGAAGGCAAGAATCATGGATTTTGGACTGGCTAAGAAAAGTCGAGAGGGGGAGTCGAATTTCGAGAAGAGCGACGTGTATAGCTTTGGGGTTGTTGTGTTGGAGGTCATGTGCGGGAGGAAGGTTCCGGAACTTTCGGGATGTTCGATCGCGGATTGGGCTTGGTCGTTGGTGAAGGAGGGGGAGGTGGAGAAGGTTCTAGATGATTCTCTTTTGAACGAAGGAGATTCTTCGAGAAAGGTGATGGAGAGATTTGTGCGTGTTGGTATTTTGTGTGCTCGTGTTATGGCGGCGGATTCGAGGCCGACGATTGTCGAGGCGTTGAAAATGTTGGATGGGGATATTTTGGTTCCTTCGATTCCCGACCATTGAATTCTCGAGATATGCTTCGGAAAAGAACCGGAAAAAAAGAAGATAAATACATATAGATTCTTATGTAGTACATAGTACTCATGCTTCATCATTTGTATGTGAAAGAAATATATATGATTTTGTATCAGAGAAGTTTTGCCTTAAAACCCTTTCTTATGATTCAATAGGAAGTTAAAAATCAGCTTTAACAACCCACTAAGTACATATACACATAGGTATATGTGTTATTATGTGTAGATTTATAGTCTAAAATTACCTCGGGAACCGAGTATAGCATCTATGAGACCGGTTCTTTGATGGCTCTAATAAATACAAAATAATAAGAGTTGCGTATATTATTTGGAATAAGAAAAAAATCTTATTAGATAAGTATGTATGAGCATGATGTTGGAAATTTTCATCATTTTCAATAGTTAATATTAATTAAATTTTGTGAATATTTATTTCATTTATTTACTTTTTATGGAATTTTTGTTTACTTGATTATAGTCGGGAAGTACATTGAATGAAAATTGTCTTGATTGAACGGTTAAAGTGAAAAAGATGCACGGTCGATGCGATCGGGTGATAGGACTAATTTGGATTTAGGTGTCCATAAATGGTACTTTTTAGGGTATTTAGTACTTAGTCAATTTATTTTACCCAAAACTCAAATAATAAAATATTTGGCACAAACCAAATAAATAATTAATCGGCCCATGACCAATTAAGGTTTCCTAGGTTTTGAAAAAAGAACATACACAACTTTCTGCTACAAACGACATCTCGGGAGAAAACTGTTGCACCATCGGCAGCCCGAAAGTATTGTATTAAGAAAATTGCTTCGACAAGCCTCAGTCAATTCTCTGCCTTTCACAAATTCCGTATTTCCATTTTCTCTTTTTAAGCAAATAAGCTATGACGCAGATTGTTATTTTACACCAACACATGACATCATTTAACTTCATATTTTGTGAAGCTCGCTGCAGGAGGTATTATCACGCATTTTATGTTCACGAATTTAATTAATCCTAGTCGAATACAACCAGTTATATTGATGCGGGTCTGATTGCTCAAAGACCCAATATTAAATTAAAATTCATACACAAAGTCCAAGGGCGGTACAGGCCCAAGGTCGGCTCACCCACTACAATTGTTAAAGTATCAAATAGCCCCATATAGGGCATGTGTAACTGACGGATGTGACAGTATATTCACCCAAATGTCAAGAACAATGGCAGAAAGCCTAGACCATGACGTGAACTGAAAAGAGGTTTGCCTATCAACCAACAACGAGCTCGGTTAACGCACATGGAACAACGACAGAGTCACCCAAGTTGTATAGAGAGACTGCTGATCACCTTTAGTAGATAAAAGGAGCTCACAACAAGTCACGTCACCATGCACATGTATAGTGGCTTGATAAAACAGGGTCCCACGAGACCCATTATTATGGCAGATATAAATACAACCCTATAACACAAAGAACAACATATTCCTTCTCTCCCTATATTATATTCAATACACCATTTTTTGTTTATCTAAGAGATGTATAGTTCTCAGCTCTACTCGACTGACTTGACCGTTGGAGTGCTAATGCGGGAAAAAATTTCTTTGACACTCCTTTTTGCATATCTTCTAGAGCATTTGGACTCTTTCTCAATCGAACTTTCCTTCGTCCTGAACTTCTATTTAAATTTAATCTTTGAACACCTTTTATTTAATTCATTCTTTAAAATTCTTTATATTGTTTAATTTAATTGTTGAATCCATTTCAATTAAAAAAAGGAAGGATAAATTACAACCACCCATGAGGTATGGTTAAATTACGAAAAACTCCCTCTTGTTTGGATAATTGCATCTTACCCCTCAACTATGAATCTTCTTACATCTCCACCCTTATGGTGTCAAATTCAACATAATCATCTAGATACCGTGGAATGTGCTATAGTTTGTACTCGTTTTGTGTAAAAATACATTTTCTGATGAACCACAATCTGATATATACAAGCCAAAAAATACATCTTATGATCATTTTGCTTCAAAATGTGGAGCTCCAATGGGATAAAAGCGTGAAAAATGATAATATTCCATATAATCAAGAAGATTCCACTAACTTCGAAACCGCAAGGGTGAGCGTATAAGAAAATTTATAGTTAAGGGGTTGTTGTAATTACTCAAACAAGAGGGAAGTTTTCGTAATTTTATCATAGCTCAGGGGTAGTTGTAATTTACCCAAAAAGGAAACATTAGCCAATTGACAAAAAAGTCCCGATTGTACACTTTGCAGTCGGAGGTATTTTCAAGACGGCAGTCGGCAAACCCATTTTGACATTTGTAAAAATGCAAGCTTTGACCCATTTTGTTCATGCATCATCAATCAAGCAGCCCTTCTTCCTTCTTCTTTCCTAGTCATATAAATCTAGAGAGAGAAAGAAGAGAGAGAGAGAGAGTTGAAAGGTAGTTTCTTGATTATTAATTGCTAAAATCAGATATTGTTTTTTCAAAATGAAGCCAATTTTCTTGATTTACATTCTTCTTCTTACCCTTTTCGTCTTTTTCCCTCCAATTTCTTCAGCAAACACAACCACAATCTGCCCTCTGGATCTCGATTACGTGCTCACAATCCCATGGAACACCTCCGATTGCAGAGGGTACAATCAGAACCCAACAAACAGCTCCAGTGGCGGCGCCGCCGGCGCCAGAAGCAGCTGCTGCCAAACACTACTCTCCCTCTACGGCGTATCGCTCTCGCACCACCTCAAGAACACATCCCTTTTCCAACTTCCCGATTTGCCCTCCTCGATTTCGTGCCTCGACAATTTCCAGCAGAAGCTCACCTCCCTCTCTCTCCCCTCCGCCCTCACATCCCTCTGTTTCGACCCTCTTCAGTTCGTCATTTCGTCGAACATCTGCGCCGCAATCCAAACCACCGCCGACTGGTCGGCGAAACTCGGCAACTCCACCGCCGTGGACGCTTCTTGCAAACCCGACCTCACCGATCTCAGCTCCTGCGACGCCTGCGTCGCCGCCGGCTTTCGCGTTCAGGCAGATCTGATCGCCATCGACGGTAATAAATCCCACTCCGTTGACTGCTTTTACTTCACCGTTCTTTACGCCGCCGGAATTGTGAACCAGTACGGCCCACAGAGCATCGGCGCCGTTACTTGCATCTTCGGCCTCTCAGTTATCAACCCTAAAAAAGGTTCTTCGAATAAACGCCATTCTGCACTCCTTTTCGGATTAATCGGTTCAATTTTAGCCGCCATTTTCGTATCTAGTGTTTTGTACTTATGGTGGAATAGGAAAAATCATGTAGAGAGGAAAGACGAAGTGGGGTCCACTCGGCCAAGAAGAAGGCCGACCACCGTGTCTATATGGTACAAAATCGAAGAACTCGAGCGAGCAACCGATAATTTCTCGACCAAAAACTTCATTGGTAGAGGAGGGTTTGGTATGGTCTACAAAGGCACATTGTCCGACGGTACAGTTGTGGCCGTTAAGAAAGTGATCGAGTCCGACATTCAACAAAATGATGATTTTTGCAACGAAGTCGAGATCATCAGCACATTGAAGCACCGAAATCTAGTCCCACTTAGAGGATGTTGTGTGTCCGAAAACGAAAGATTCCTCGTGTACGACTACATGCCCAAAGGCAACCTCGAAGACCGCTTGTTCAACGGCGGAGATTTGCCGCCGCTGACGTGGCGGCAAAGGAAGAGCGTGGTCGTCGACGTGGCAAAAGGGTTGGCCTATCTCCACTACGGAGTGAAGCCCGCGATTTTTCATCGGGATATCAAAGCGACGAATATACTATTGGACGACGATATGAAAGCTAGAGTGGCGGATTTCGGATTGGCTAAGCAAAATCGAGAAGGGCAATCACATTTGACAACTAGGGTTGCCGGGACCCACGGGTATCTAGCACCCGAGTACGCGCTTTACGGGCAGTTGACCGAGAAGAGCGATGTGTATAGCTTTGGGGTTGTTGTTCTGGAGGTTATGTGCGGGAGGAAGGCTCTAGAACTTTCCGGAGGGTCGCCGCGTGGGTTCTTGATTACGGATTGGGCTTGGTCTTTGGTCAAGGAAGGGAAGATGGAGAAGGTTCTAGATGCTTCCCTTTTGAGAGACGACGAGAATCCAAAGGAGGTGATGGAGAGATTTGTGCTCGTCGGCATTTTGTGTGCGCATGTAATGGTGGCGCTTAGGCCGACTATTATCGAGGCGTTGAAAATGTTGGAAGGGGATATTGAGGTTCCTCCGATTCCCGATAGGCCTACGCCGCTCGGGCATCCTTCGTTTTCGAGGGGAGGTAATAATAATAATTTTAGTATTTCGCCGGCTTTGAGTGGGCTGCACTTGAATTCGGGAGACATGCTTAGGTAAAGAACCAAGAAAAGAAGCTATATATGTTTGTATGTATGTGTATGTATGTATAGATTCTTGTGTATCTATCTCTCTTTGCTGATGTTTGAGTATGTGAAATTGTTTTATGTAAAAGAAATAGATGATTTTGTATGAGAGAAATAACTATTGAGGGTCTATAATACTACACCGGGTGAAATACAGTGGATAAATCTTTACCATTCATATGCACACCCACATTTGGTGTGTGTAGATCAACGGTAAAAAATTACAAATGGTATAGTTTTCACCGGGTGTAGCATAGAAATAACAGACTATTGAGTCAAGTTTTGCCGTACTTAAAGAGTGATTTGTTATCTTATGCTTGTTTGATAACATGCATACAAGTTCTGATTATTATTTTTCGGGAGAATTATACTTTTGGTCCCCGTTGTTCTAAAGTGAACAAAGTTCACCTTCAATGTTCAATTTTAAATACATTTGGTCCCCACTGTTACATATCCGTTAGCAAGTACCGGAAAACACTATTTTGGGGCGAATATTGAAATTTTAAATATTTTGGGGGCTGGAAAATAATTAAAAATTTAAAATATACTACTAGTAATTTTTAACAATAACCAATGTTGTAAAACAGAAGGTTATAAAAAATGATGGATATCCACATATACATACCATTTCGAGAACTCGTATTAAGGAAATTGTTTGATTATATTGTTGGCCAGTAACGAAAGACGCGAATCTACCGAGTTATCAACTTAAAAAATTGGCATCGATTAGTAAATTAATCGAGATCGATAATCAAACCGATGAAACGTGGCCCGAAAGACATCATGGAAGTTGACTTTAATGGTGGTAGTTATTTTAGTTGGCATGGCTGTTGATCTTGGAATTCCTGGTAAGTCCATTTTGATGAAATTTGAAGTGAGAAAAGACATCACTTTTTTTTTAGCATTGCACTAAAACATTCTTCAATATAACTTAAGGTATTTGCAAAAGCTTTTACAAAAATAATTATGAGCTGTTTTTTTTTTTTTTTTTCTCATAATCTATTTTTAAGTGTTTGCAAATGAATTTTTGCTTTTATTTCTCTTATAATAAACAACTGTAAGCTACAATTTGTTAAGTACGCATGACCCTGCTATTCTATTTATGTTTATCTTTCGGTAAATTTGCAAACATCCTCAACTTTTAGAAATAAGCACTTAACACCAATTTAACTCACAATCCACAACTTTTGCTATTAAATAAGCTTTTGCAATCACCACTTAGGGTAAATTACAATCACTCCCCTGACGCAAGATCTATTTACGAAAAAAATCCTTCATTTTTTCATAACTACATCTACCCCTTGCAATTTGTAGATTTCTTACATTAACACCCTTTTGTAGGTGGTGGATGTTAGAAATTTACAAACTTCAGGGGGGCTGGGTGTAATTTCTCAAAAATAAGGAGGGGAGGTTATTGCACTTTACCTCAGAGAGGTGGTTATTGATATCACCCAAAAAAAATTGAATTCAAGATTAACTTTACCGATTTCGGATTTGATCAACTGAATAGGCTTCTATTTAACGAACTGAAATAATCTAACTTTGAGATTCGAGAGCGTGAAAACGTGGACAAAAAAAACGCAAATTCAGCCATTTTTCAAGTCTCGTGTGATTGGCGCTCACTATTTTTTTTTTCTTTTTTTTTTCTTTTTTTTTAAATTGAAAAGTTGTATATAAATTATGAAAGCTCATGTTATTCTTGTTTTTTTGTAGTTGATTACACACTCAGAAAGCAAAAAAAGAAAAATGAGGAGGATTCTTCTAACATGTTTGTGATGTACCTAAGTGCTAGACAATGATTGTTGTGATGAAAACATGGCTATGCACAAATTGGTGCACGCGAGTGTACCTTATAATTTTAACCGGTCAAAATCTCATCAATGCTCAAATAATGCTCAAATATCTGATTTCTGCCGATTGCGATCAAATAAGTATTCGACTTTGGAATAATATTTTTCATTTCATTTCCAATTTTCGATTTTTATGATTTTTTTTCTTGAAATATGTATGATTCCGATTTTCAATCCACTTTTAATATCCGAAAATTCCAGGGTTTTTTCTCCAGAAATTACCCTTATGTTACAAATACAGTATTAGGGCAAATTACGGTAACCTGTGAGTTAACTCCAGATTATGAAAAAAAACTCCATCGTGTTTGGATAATTACAACCACCTCCCTCAACTATGCATTGTCTTATGAAAAACCCCTCCTTTATAGGTAAATTTGACATCGTAAGAGTAGAAATGTAAGACAATACATAGTTGAGGAATAGTTGTAATTACGCAAACATGAACGGTTTTTTCGTAATTCCAACATACTTCAGGGGTGGCCGTATTTGCCCTAAATAAAATTATGTACTTTGTACGTAAATTGGAATTTTTCCAAATTCTTCCAACTTTGATATGTAAATTCCGATTTTGGAACAATTTTCTAATTATAATTTTGATTTCGGTTTTCGATTTTTCTGGAACCAAAATGGAATTAATTTTCACTTCAGAAAAAAAAAAACATTTTTTTTCCGATTCGTTCGATTTCCACCCCTAGTAATTGACTAATTGCTATTCATTAGTGGAGAATCCTCATTCTAATTAGATCATTCGTATTTGTAGATCTTATATCTTCCCAAAATGGAGATGGATTGTAATTTGTATGAAAATAAACCAAAGATTAATTATTCGTTTTCCCTTTTTTCGCTCCTTTCGTTCACTATATAAATAAACCAAAAAAATCTTGATCATAAAATAATCAAACTGATATAATCAAAAAATAATAAAGGAGATTTAACATAGTAGAAAAAAAAATCAACACGGAACAATAATAAGAAGAAGAAGAAGAAGAAGAATCTCAGTTAAAGTAGTCATACTTTTGCAGCCCAAACACACAAAAATCTCTCTCTCTCTCTCTCTCTCTCTCTCTCTCTCTCTCTCTCTCTCTCTCTCTCTCTCTCTCTCTCTCATCATGCCCTCCACTCTACTCTAAAAAGGAAGCACACATAATTGCTCCCAACAAACATATTCTTTTTCTTAGCCTTTACAAATATATATATGTATATATATATATATATATATATATATATATATATATACATATATATATATATATATAAGTGATTCTTGATCATATATTCACTTGCTCAAAATTATTCTTCACCATAACAACAAAGAGAATTAAAAAAAAAAGAAAAAAAGTAAAGGGCAATCTTCATTCTTGATCTTGATGATGAATAATTCTTCATCAGTGACAAGTTTCCTTAACTTCCTCACAAAAGAAGTAGACAATCTTGATAACCTCTTCCTTTCTCACACCAACTTCTTGTCTTCAAAATTCCTCCAACAAGTCCTCTCGTCTCTTCGGAACTTCCATTCGGAGCTAACGATTTTGGTCCAAAAACTAAACCTACCCATCGGAGAAAAATGGCTCGACGAATACATGGACGAAACCTCGATGCTTTGGGAATCTTGCCACGTGTTAAAAGCGGGAGTTTCTTCCATGGAGAACTATATTTCGTCCGGTGCTAATATAGCCTCTTTGCTCGTAAACCGACAACTTTCTAGCCAGGTTCGTTAAATTATAGTAGAGTTTATTGCATTCAGTACCCCTGTGTTATTAATATTAACAAAAATCTCGCTATAATGCATCTTTTTAGCACACGGCCCCCCTATGCGGTGAGGTTTTAGGGGGTAGTTTGCTAAAAAAAAGTTGCGTTATAGGGTTTTTTTGCTTATATTAATAATACGATGACTTTTTAATAACAATTAGAGTAAACACAGGGTGCTGAATTCAATAAAACCCATCATTATTAAATTTCTCAAAAAAAAAGTGCATATTGCATAAAGACACGATCGATCGTTCTTTTTTTTTTGTGACATAGGTTATTCGATCGATCGACCGTTGTCAAAGGGAAATGACAGCACTGCAAGAGGAGAACAAGAGCATAGTGGAGACAAAACTCATCCAAACTTTATCATCACTTAGGTTTGGGGTCAATAAGGAAAACGAATCAAAGTTCAACAAATATAACGGTTTTCGAGGAGTCCTATGTGCAATGAGGAGTGTAAGCACATTGCTTCTCGAGATTTTAATTAGCGGGCTCGTGTACTTTTTGCCCGAAAAAATGAGCTTTAGCCAAGAGGGGCTAACTTGCACCGGCGGATATCAAATTGGTGCTAACTTGCACCGGAGAATGGTGGAGGGGATGATTAGGTTTAATGGATCGGGGCCCGGTATTCTTCTTTTCGAGCTTCAAAAGGCGAGGTTTGCAGTTGATGAGGTGAAAATGGAGGTAGAGATGGAGAATTATAGTGATATTGATGAAAAAGTTGGGAAGTTGAAGAATTGCTTTGATGATTTGAAGTGTGGGGTTGAGGGTATAATTGGGCAACTTGATGATTTCTTTGATGAAATAGTTGATGGTAGAAAGATGGTTTTTGACATGTGCTCTAATAGATAGAGAGAGAGAGAGAGAGAGAAAGAGAATTGAAGAGGAGAGAGAGAGAGAGAGAGAAGGAAAGAAAAAAAGAAAGATATGATGATGGATTAGTTTGAAAATCCCAATTATGATGATATATTTGATGTTAGTTATTCTGTTTGATGTCCCTTTTCTTGATCTCTTTTTCAAAAGCTTCAAGGAGAAGTAATCTTATAAATAATTACACGGTTTATTCTGTGCTCCACTCAGTATACTCTATCAGAGTTATATTATAATGTACACGTATATAGATTCATCTTATCTATATCGTTTTCACATGTATATGTGTAAATCAAAAGCAAAAAAATAACCGATATATTTCATCAAGTGTATCATGTACGCGATAAGGAAGGAAGGAAGGAAAATATTCAAAAGAAAAGAATGTGTGTTGCTTTAAAATAGAAAAAGTAGAATTACTAAATTAAGGGAAGAACCAAAACTTAAATAAGAATATGTCAAGACAATGATATCTTGAACAGAAAGCAAGATTCTTCCAATGATATGTTTAGCCAATTATTATTTCTTATTTTTTGGGTGGTAAATAAAATAAAGTATTAAACACACATGAAAGCTGGTAATTATTTCAGGCGTCCAGTTTCAATTACTTTATCAAATGGGCTTTCTAAAGAGCCCATCCTAGAATTTTGTTTTCATTTATCCCACATCGGAGAAACACTGTTGTTTTTTATATTTGAAATACATGAGCACTACAAGTATAGAGTGTCCTTTCGGGGACATCCGATAAAATTGGAACGATACAGAGAAGATTAGCATGGCCCCTGCGCAAGGATGACACGCATAAATCGAGAAATGGTCCAAATTTTTTTTGCCATTGAAAACATAATTTCTTCTGCAAAACTTTATACTTTGAGTGAGTGATTGACTGAATGAGCAATTGAGGTTGTGGTTTACATAAGCCAGATTTTGATGAATTCAAAATCAACTAATTTTTGAATTGTTTGTGCTGAATTTGATATTTCAAATCAAAATGGTAAAAAAGCTGTGTTCCTCTATATAACTTTTGACATCAGAAGTAAAACCCCCAGAATTCAGCAACAAATACAATGACTATGTAAAAATTAAAATAAAATAAAAAATAATAAAAGAAAAAAAGAAAGTATGCTTATCATATAGCACAAGGAGTAAACTAAGTGAGACCTAAACAAAGTGATCGACACAAGTCACCCTCAGTCGACGAACAATAGCCGGAGGACAGAAGGCAAGATCATTCGTGGGGATATCAAAGTTTCCACATATAAACACCAAAAAATAGTAGCAATTCCTTTTTGCACCAAGACAGGAACACCAAGTTGTGTGAGATTGAATTGAAGCTCAGAGGTTTCGGTCAATGTTTCGTAAGCGCAAAAAGAACAAAGAAAAAAAAATATCGACAAATAATCATATAAATCTGCATCAGGTGATCAGACAAGAATCGAGAGTGTCTGTAATAATATATGATGTTGTTACCCCATGTACAGAGACAAAAGTTATCCATCCAATCCTGGCATTGCAAACTGATGTGCAAAGCTTTCTACTCGTGTTCGCAGCTCAATAATGTCTTTGTTATTCTCGAGCCCTTTTAGAAAAGATTTCGGCAGTTTCCCGTGTTCTCTTTGCACCGAAGTTGCAATTTGTGCAGCTCGAAGGACATATTCAGCCATAACCTCGAAATCAGACTCGAGACACCCTCTCGATGTCATTGCGGGTGTACCTGCAATAAATATGCATGTAAATAGTTGTTTAAAAAAAAAAAAACACTACGTACAGTCGTACACCATTCTGAAACCTAAAAAAATATCGGAAAAAATAAAACGCAATTTGATGTTGATGTGACGTACCAATCCGTACGCCTCCTGGGGTGATGTTACCATTGTCATCAAAGATTGTAACTTTATTGACAGTGATTGAGCATAACTCACAGACCTTCTCAAGATTTTTACCTACACACCACCAAAATACAAGAAAAAGAAAAGAAGATTAATACATGCTCATGAGTTATAGCAGAATATAGCACGTGACAAAATTCAATCTCTTACAAGCACTAAGCCTTTGTACAGTATAATATGTAACAAATCCGTACCTGTCAATCCAAAATTTCTTAGATCCCAAAGCAGCATATGGTTATCAGTGCCTCCAGTAATAAGTCTACAGTTCCTTCTCAATAGAGCCGATGCCAAAGCCTGAGCGTTTTTCTTCACTTGTTGCATGTACATCTTGTACTCCGGGGTAGCCACTTGTTTCAATGCTATAGCAAGGGCGGCAATATGATTGTTGTGCGGTCCACCTTGAAGAGCTGGGAAGACTGCAAAGTTTATCTTTTCCTCGAAATCGTATTTATCGCTGCCATCACCTTGATTCAAAAGCATGCCTCGCTTTCTCGGCTTTGGGCCCTTCCTAAAGAAGATTATTCCTCCCCTTGGACCTCGAAGACTTTTATGGGTCGTGGAGGTAACAATATCGCAGTATTCAAAAGGGCTTGCGCATTCCTGCATATCAACAAATGGTTGAAAGTGTCATAAAGTTATTCGATTTTTCCAAGAGGAGAAAATAGTATAATAAGAATAGATAACTCTTAAGAATATTAGAAAGACAGCACGTTGTTTCGTTGACCGAGAAAAATAAACAAACACGAAATGCAGAAACAAATATTTTAAAATGAGTATGTAAATCAGCTGACTGCGGCAATCCACTTTAGTCGCTATATCCGAACTCCCTTGAGAATCAACAATATGCTAACATTGCAAACCACGTCATACTATCGTACACCTTAGCATGCAAGAGAAAAGTATGATACCATGTTATGTTGTTGTGCACATAAATAACTCCAACTTATACAGAAAAGAATAATCTCAGAAACTCGGTATACTGATTAGAAAAAAAACATCAAGTTCCGTAATCTTGAAACAGAATCAAACATGCTAGGTGCTTAAATTCGTTTTACGTTGTATCCATACGCTATCCTGCAGATTCAAATGCTTCACACAAGTCAGCAGACAAGAGTTCCGTTCTTAAACCCAAATGCACATATATTTACAAAGTTTGAGAAACACACAAAAGCAAAGCACAATAAACATTAAGTCCAGCTAGCAAGAGGAACCGAGATTTTCACCTTAGCAGCTATAAGACCGCTAATCTGAGCCATATCACACAACAAAAACGCACCGCACTTATCAGCTATCTGCCTAAACCTTGCGTAATCCCAGTCCCGAGGGTACGAACTCCCACCACAAATCAGTATCTTGGGGCGAAAATCCAGTGCCCTCTCCTCAAGCTTATCATAATCTACATACCCTGTCTGTGGGTTCACCTTATAAGGCAAACTCTCGAAAAAAATCGACGCTCCAGATACTTTCCTCCCATTCGGCAAATAGCATCCATGGCTGGTATTCCCTCCAGAAGGAGTGTCCAATCCCATTATCCGATCACCAGGTAACAAAAGACCAGTGTACACTGCAAAATTAGCAGACGTACACGAGTACGGCTGCACATTGACACCCCAACTTTCTGAATCGAGCCCGAAAGCGGCCAAAGCACGCTGACAACAGAGTGTTTCGATCTCATCTATGTAATGATTCCCACCGTAGTAGCGTGCACCCGGTTTTCCTTCGGAGTATTTATTCGTTAGGTGGCTTCCCAAAGCCTCCAGTACAGCTTTGCAGACGAAATTCTCCGATGCGATCAATTCAATTCCTTTGAACTGCCTCTTCTTCTCCTTCTCCATTATCTCGAAGATATCAGGGTCGGCGTTCTGCAGACTCTGATTCCCCCACGCTTTGACGGTGTTCCTGCGCGATTCCATCTCGTTGCTCGAAACCCTAGCTCCCTTTGAAGACGACGTCGTCGATGATGATTCCGAATCGGAGTCTCGTTTCCGCTTCGTCAGAGTCATGGAGTGGCCCAATATGCGAAACTCCTCCACTTTCTCCTCGTCGTCCGGCGCACGATTGCGATTCTCCTTCTGATTGTCCATCAATTGGAGTGGAATTGAGGGCGGCGGGTGCGAGGGGTCCCGAATCGGCGACTCGATCTGAAAGGACATGGTTTCGTTCGAGGTCTTCAAGCACCGGTTGTTTTTCAGAGACAGCGGCGGCGCCGCCGCGTTGACGTGTGATAGAAACCCTAGCGAGAGACCGTTGCTCGCCGGAGAGTGAGTCAAATCCATAATCAACAACCGAAAAAAATTAAAAATAATGAAGTGGTAGAAATGAAATTAGAATCAACAGATTCGACAATGGGCGGCGACGACGGTGATAGTGACGGCGGCGAAGAGTGGCGAAACTTCCACGAAAATGCAACACAGCCACGAGAAAATTGATAATTTTTTGAGCAAATACGGATATGGACAAAGTATAATATGGTTATGAATTGGGGTTGGGGAAAAAGAAGATGGAGATTTATATGAGGAGAAGCGTGGGTTTGACGAGAAGAAGAAGGGGGATGAATCTGGACGGTTTTGGGTGACGAGGAAATTCCGGTCACCGTGCTGTGATTTTAGTGTCTGTCAGTGATGGTTGTTTGAGATGGGACATGGCCTTATGAGGGGGAATTCCCTGCGGCGGGTTCTACTGTGAACCCTTGTGCAGCGTGCTCCACATTTCTTACTTCATAGTTAATTCTACATTTCTAATATAATATACACAGCCACCTCTGAGGTAATGTTAAATTACGAAGACCCCCTCTTGTTTGGATAATTATAATCAGTTTTACCTATGATTTTCTTACACGTCCACAGTTTTAGTGTCAAATTTAACAGAATCTTCTAGATTTCGTGGAATGTACTCGTTTTGGGCAAAATGCAGTTTCGATGCACCACAATCTGATATTTACAAGCTATGAAACACATATTATGATCATCTTGTTTCAAAATGTAGTGTTGAAATAAGGTAAACTAAGTACAGACTGAAAAATATTTCATAGAAGATTTCACTAAATTTAATACCATAAAAGTATACGTGCAAGAAAATTTATAGTTAATAGGTGATTGTAATTATCCAAACAAGAATATTTTTTTCGTAATTTGACCTTATATCGAGGGTGGTTGTAATTTAGTGTATAAGTATTTTGGAATTGGAAACTATGAATAATGTGATCAAGAAAAAAAGAGAAATATTTAATATAAAGATATTTTTGAAGATATAGATATTTAGATCTGGCCCAATATATTAAAATAAGACTTAAATGAATATTGAGCTGCCAAAGAGCCCAACATTGAAGAACTGGTCTAACTTATCTTGAGCGGAAATATTAAGGTAATTAACCTAGCGGTTGGAGCAAGTGAATTTGTGTTAATTGACTCAATTTCGAATCCCCGCTTGCGTAAACGGTTGCTAGGTCGAGTTTGTCACACATGGTTAGCCTAGTGTGATTTACGTATCTCATGTAGTGTACAAACTGTTAAACGACGAGAGTGTAGGTTTACCCTAATGCAGATGAGAGCAATTTGATCCATAATTTCCGACTATAAGTATTATGTGAGTTAAATGTTTTTAACTTTTACAATCTCTAGTTGCATTTTTATTTTATTTTTTGACTTGGGATCCATAATCGTACACTACAGCTCACGTAAACGATCCGTTACATTTAAGGTCAACTTTCCAGCTCGAGATTTCCACGAGATACTTATTTAAATTGATTTTACAGTAACCAGTCAACTATTCAAGGTCAAATCTGAAGTCCAATATTCTGTAAGGATCTAATTGACTAACTATTCAATAATTTACTTGACACTGAACAAGATTTCCAGGTGTGATTTCTAATTTGCTCTAATATTCTATTATCATATAATAATGGCATTACTTAAATTAAAAGACCTAAACATATTGATTGTCATCTCACCTTTTATGGTCCATAATTTTGACTTTGTTAATTATTCAAAAACTTTTTTGAATACTCATCGGTTACACATGTGCTAAAATAAATAACAAGTCCCAAGTATTTCATGCATGAACTTGGACAATAAATGGAACCAAATTCATTAAGGGAGAAATGCCATTACAACTATGACTTGTTACATTGATGAATTTGGACGATAAATGGGATCAATTAAGAATCCACCAAGAATATATATTGAAATTTGGATAATAGATTATTTGTTAGAGTATATACTTGGGCAAGAGTGCAAGAATCCGGCCTTTTAATTCAAATTTCAAAATATGTATATATAAAGTGTGAAAGTTATGTATACGTCAACAACTTGCCCCTATACTTAGACTATATTCCAAATAAAACTAAAATTAAGTGAAAATATTCCATCGACTAAAAAGGATTCTGTGAAAATTACATTTTTAGGGAATCAGTGTAGGACGGAAACAAAAGTTGGGAGATTTTGATAACTACAGATAGGTGAGAGTATTTTAGTAAATTAGCATAAGTTTAGAGTTTTTTTTTTTTTTTTAATTTACCCTTTTTTAAATATTCAAATATCTCTTTTTTGAAGTCGGTGTATACCTAATCGAAATTTTATATGTAGGCGCTTTCAGAAAAGAAAAGAAAAAATAATTTACTCCCATGTTACGTCCTTGAAATATAGTTTTTGGTATTTTCCACGCTCGAAAAAAAATTAATAGCATTTTGCATTCTCAAAAAATAGTAAATCGTGCATAATGCATCCGAATGAATTTTTAAATCTAATGAATGTAATTTTTTTTTAAGATGTGAAATGTCAAATCATTTAGTTTTTATTAATCAATCCCTTGGAAAAACTACAAAGTGCAAAATACAAATACGTTTCATCAACATATTTAAAAACTATATTTCTTTTATCATAAAAAAATATTTTACCAAAAAATAAAAATTAAAAACAAAATTAAAAACTTCTTCAGATATTTTTTTATCGAGTTATTTTAAAAATTATTTTTTCTTTCAAATAATTCTACCAATTACAACAAAATATCCACCAAACGAGTAATTTGTCATAAACGTTTATGTCCTTTATCTTTGTGAGAAAATATAACTTTTCAATTATGCTCAAAAGTAGGTTGAAGGATAGAAGAAAATAATAATTGAACTTGTTATTTTGCACCCCCAAAAGAAGAAAAAAAACCAAAAAAAGAAAAAAAATGTGCCCTCTGTAAATTTTGAATATTCAATTCGGGGTGCAACGTGAATGATTTTATTGTGTTTTTAGGGTGCAAAGTGTTGTTAATTATTTTCAAGGATGCAAAGTGTCAAAATACTATATATCAAGAATGCAAAATGATATTAAACCAAAAGAAAATTATTTATATTATTCAGGCCTTCATAGATTTTTTATATTTTTAGCAAAGGTTACATATTTTCACATCTCATAAGCATATTTAAATCTAACACGGGCCCAAGCCCACTCCAAACTTAATTTGTATCTACTCATTTTATGACTTGTATCTAAATTCAAGTTCATCTATTAAAAATAGGCTAAATTCCACTTTCGCCCTTGTACTTTGGTTCGATATCACATTATCCCATTTTACTTTCGATTACATTGATTTGCCCCCCTGCACTTGAAAAATTGATCAATGCGGCCCTCGCTGTTAGTTGTCAGACATTTAACCTTATCACCGTTTGATCTAAGCTCTGAAATTATAAAAACACCACCTCTCCTAGTTTAAATAATTATTAGAAAAACAAAAAAAAATTAACAAAAAAAAAAATTAAAAAAAAAAAATTGAAAATAATGAGAAAACATAGTCTACGACGCCAACCACAATTTTTTTTTTTCATTTTTTAATAATTATTTAAACTGGGAGGGCTGACTTTTTTGTAATTTTCAGAATTAGATCAAACGGTGTTAATGTCAAATGTCTGAAAACTGACGACGATGGACCATATTGAGACAATTTTTCAAGTACAAGAGGGCAAATCGATGCAATCGATAGTGAAAGGCGGTAAAGTGATATCGAGCCAAAGTACAATGGGGGAAAGTGGAATTTACCCTTCAAAATATATATAAAACTTATGGCTTCATTAGTAATTATAGATAATACAGTGGTCAATTTGCAATTCACTCAAAACACTTTTAAGACAAAAGGAGTGGGCTATGTTCAAAAGGGCTTGAAGCAAGACAAAGACCCATAAATTTTGGCACAAATTCTGGATTCATCTAAAAGGACCACTATTATTAATTATTACAAGCCAAGAACAAATATGTGAACAAGCAATCGCTATTACATACTTCATCGTTCTTATCACTTCTTTCTTCCCTTCTTCCTTATCAACAATTTGAACTTTGGAGTTGTTCCCTATTGCTTTACTTTTTCTTTTTTGTACCAATTATATAGGTGCATTGAGTAAATAATACGAGAGATGTAAATCACACTATGTTGATTATTTGTGATAAATTTTACCTAACAACTTTTGGCAAAAGGAAAAGAGGCCAATTGATACATACCCATTTGCTTCAACCATTAGGTAATCCCTTGCGGGCCCACAATTGCTTAACTTGGTAATCGTACTGCTAGCATTGGCACAAATACTAAAATTTAGGATTATTTCTATGTTCTAACCGCAATTTACGGTATTCAAAGATTCCATACTATTATTGTACTAAGAAATAAGTTACAATGAACTTCGGTATACCTATTACTTTTGTCACAAGAAAGTCGATACAACATACATGCTACTCGACCATTATTTCACAAAAAAATAGCGTTGATTATAATTTTTGGGTTTTGTTGTCGAATTTCGTAATATCGTGGGAGGAATGAACTCCGGTAAACCTATACTAGCTTTACCACTTATTATGTGCATCTTGTGTCTAATTCAGACACAAAAACAGAAGGAAAATAAAAAAGATTTGAGACCCTCGAAAAGACTACCCTACTATCAACCTTATTATGCGTCAAATCCGATAAATTGATTTGTTCTTGATTAATGATGTGGCATTTTGACAAAACAATGCCATCCAAAATTTACTGAAGATAATCGAGTGTTAAGTTTTGATTTTTTTTAACTAAAACGTCTTGTATACTAAAAGTTTATAACGAATTTAGTAAGTACAAATCATGTCAACCAAACATGTTACTAATCTCTATTACTTAATCAATAGAACCTGATATTAGTAAACGAACGAGTCCTAATGAATTCTATTACGTTGCAAAATGTCACATTAATATTAATTATACAACTAAACAAGTATTTATCCATTGGAATCTTTTTTTCTTAAATAAAATATTTTGGTGGAATCCTTTTTTTTCTGCCACTAACTAGTCATCATCATTTTATCCACAAAGCTCCAAATTAAATAATAAATCAAAATAAATAAATAAAAACAATGGTGGTGGCTAAAGTCGTTCGCTTTATTTTCAATCATAGGCCCCACCGCAGACAAACTTTTGCTTACAATGGTTAAGATTCCACCTCCCGTCACTTTGAACACGTGGCCGAATTCTAGATGCACGTCGTGGCAGCCGCTAACTTTCACGACCCACGAGGGGCTTAATTTTACTTTGCACCCTCTAAATGTACCAATTTGCCACTTTGCACCCCAAAACATAATTTATGGCACTTTTCATCCTTTTAACATGTTTAATCCTTTAAATTGCATTCTAGTTTATTTTTCGGCTATAATTCCCGTCGTTAATCTAATTTCCGACAGTCAACAGAGTCATTTTTACTCAAAAATACATTAGCAGTTCACACCTTGCAGAAAAATTCAATCGAATATACAAAAATGACCATGTTGACGATTAGAAAATAAATAAACAACAAAAATAAACTATGACGCACTTTGAATAATTAAATATATTTTTAGGGTGCAAAGTACTATACGTAATTTTTTAGGATGCAAAGTGCTAATATGTTATATTTGAGGGTGCAATCTAGAATTAAGCCCCCAGAGGTATCTTCACCTGTGGAGAGAACTACTGTATATATGGTGAGTCGGCGCTCCAAGGAAACATAAGCGGATACGTAATCATCTAGCAGGGCGAGTAGAGAGGCATTTCATACGCGCGAGAGTGGTGGTGTGAATGGATTACGTGTCAATTCCGTCTTGTAGCCGTCAAGCCGACGGCCCACGCGTCACATCTGGCGCGTCGCTTCATAGAGGTATAGAGTAGCATAGCAAATTGGAGGTGTTGAATTTACTCTTATGCCCCTTCTTTTTTGTATTTTTGTTTTAATGTAATAAGTAATGATATTTCTTTTCCTTCTTTTTAACAATTTTTGATTAGTTGTTAGATTGCATTTGATAAAAGATTTAAAGTAATATTTGTTAATTAATTAAGATAACAATTACCATGGACTTACAGAAATCGAGTCGATGAACGAATGCACGATTGTTCAAGTTTTCATGAGTTTTTAACGAGTCTTCAAAATTGTGTTTGAGCTTGGTTTGACAAGCAATGAAGTTTAGTTCGAACGAGTTTTGATTGCATCGATGGGAATCGAACTCGAGCATTGATATTTATATATATTTTATTATTTTCTAAATCTAATTTCACAGTTTAGCAAACAAAAATATGTGAAGGACTAAAATATTTTTAAGTAGTTTGCTTTAATTTTTGGCCTGAAATAAATTTGGAATAAAGTTATTAGCTAACGAAATAAATGAAGAATTGGTTTTGGTCATGTATTACATATTTATAAATAAGTTATACTAATTCATGCAATTAAATGATTAATCATAAGTCAAGTACATGTTCTTATTATTTTTAATTGTTACGTACGATTTATGTGGATGTGGACACATACAATATAGTATAGTAATTTTCTATGTTTTTTAATTTGAGAATAAACTAAAAAATAATGTTGATTTCTTCTTTATATCTTAAAAATAAATAAATTAACGGCAATCGTAATCCATTAATGACCTATAATATCTTAGCATGCATGTTCAATTGTAAATTATTAATGAAATTAAATGTCAAAATTGTGTATTTATGTTTGCGCATAAGTTTCAATTCAGGATAGCAAAAGAAAAAAATGAATTTATGAAATTTTTCATTCCAATAGAAAAAAGAAATTTAATATGTATGTTAAATTCTAATACCTTATAATTTTCTCTTTAATTAAAAGGAATAACTAAAAAAATAATTAAATTATGCAACTAAAATTATTTGTTGAAAAACGCAGTATATAAAATCTAAAAATATTATCATTCATTGGGTATATATCTAATAAATAACATCTAGTTGTCCTTGCACTAATTAATCGAATATATTCTTATCGATAAATTTGAAGAAATCAGTAGTACATAACTAATAGAAAGCTTAAGTATTTAAATTTATTTTCGTTCATTAATTTATTAAAATATACTTTCATTCATAATTATACAATATAAATTACTTTTTAATTAATTTCCAATGATTAAATTTTAGCTACTTTTCAATTTTATATGATTCAATAATTATTATATTGTTACATTTATTATGTTTTAAATTTTAAAATATAAAATAATTAATGTTGATGGGGTAAGTGTTACAAATGATACTTTAAAGGTGTAAATGTTTCATAGGCTATACTTTAGCGGTGCAAAGTGTATTTAACCCTAATAATAATAATAATAAGATTACAAGTAATATAAGGATTTTAATTCTTACAATTTATATGTCTTCTTGATCTATTTTTTTCCTGAAGTTAATTAGGGATGGGCAAAATCGTCATATCTTTTATGTATAATTAATAATTAAAAAAAAAAAAAAAAACTGTGAAAAATACTCAAAATAGAAACGTGCCACTTTAAATTGAAAGTCCAAAGTCCAAACAACTACACGCTAGTGTACCGTTGGGCACCTCCAAAGATGACGTGGCACCGCTCCCAAAGTAAGGCACGCGTTACTTCACGCAATCTCACAAACACGCTTCTTCGGGAAAAAGGAAAATTGAAAACGCTTCTCTGTTTTTAATTTTTCTGGCCTAACACGATTTCAATTCAAAAGGCCAAACAGCCCCCCCCCCTCTCTCCTCTCTCCTCTCTCTCTCTATCTCAACAAAAGAAGTAAAGAACATCTCATTTCATTTCAATCGTCGTTACCTCTCTTGAACCCTCCCTCTCTGCTCTCTCTCTCTCTCCTCTCTCTCTCTCTCTCTCTCATCTCTTGACATCGCTTTCTCTCTCTATAACTATTTGTAGATATATATATATTATATATAAATACACGCACGCGCGAGGTTTTGTATGTAATTTTGTGTGTAATTGCCTGATTGTGCCGTCGTCAATTTCTGTTTTGGGGGGGATTGATTCCGTAGTGTCAGTGGTTTTTGTTGTGATAGCAGTGGTGGTGGATACTGATTTTCGATCCTCGAGTTTGAGTTCGATTCTGATTGTTGGGGAAATGGAGTCGCCGGAGAGGGGGAGTCCGGTGGCCGGAATTGCCATGGAATTTCCGGCTATCGATGGGCTTTTATCCTGCTCACCTCCGACCATGCCGCCGTGGCTGCGACGGAGGCTCTCGGAGACGAAGTCGCCGACTCCTTCGACTGTTGAAGAAATTGAGGCCAAACTCCGTGACGCCGATCTTCGTCGTCAGGTATTTATTTTCTCTTTATTTCTATTTTGTCTGTATCCTTCGCTCCAAGGAATTTTGTTTTTTAGGTTCAATTTTGATCAAAATACTCTTATGCCTTTTGTTTTTTTTTTCACGGTTACTTTGTGATTATCAAATATACAGGGAATCAGGATTTATTGTTTAAGTTTAGTTTATTGTAACGATGAAAGAAATATGATACATATTAGGTAATTCATTTGTTCCTTAAAGTTCAACTAGAATAAATTGGATCCGTTTCTACTAAAAATTTATTTCCCCCCTCGTGTTAGGTAAAAGTTGGGTAACAGTTGTGTTCAAGTTCAACCCCCCACCCCCACCCCCACCCCCCCTTTTATTCTTCTGGTCCTCGTCCTCCCCTGTGGCATAAGTAGATGTTTTGGTGAACTCTCATGTCATTTTCTTGCTGTTATTATTATTATTATTATTATAGTTTGGCCGCATCTCTTTATGTTTCGAGTAGGTTAAATATCATAATATCAATTTGTTGTTCCTTTGTCTTCTGGTGTCTTTTTGCTTGAATGTGGTCCTCTGATTACATAATATTTATTATCTGAGGATCTTTGATATGATATTTACACTAAATAAACTGCAGAAATTTTACGAGAGTTTATCAAACAAGGCTAGGCCAAAACCGAGAAGTCCTTCACGATCTTCCTCTAATGAAGATGATCCTGGACAACGCCTTGAGGCTAAGCTCCAAGCTGCTGAAGAGAAAAGGTTAACTTTTGTTCTCTGACTCTGTCAATCGTCAAAACTGTTTTAGTAAGCAAACTTGTGCATTCATATTTCTGAATCAAATCATATCCTCTCTTTCCATTTTCAAACCTTTTAAGATGTGCAATGAATAACAAATATATTTGTTCCATGCACCTTCTGCGGTGGTTTGACGAATTTGTTTTTTCATGTTAGTACTAAGCCTCTTTGGCTTGCTTTGGTTGTTGTTTAGTTTTTGTTTGTTTTTATTAATTATGTTATTTGAATTTGTAGGTTGACCATTTTGACTAATGCTCAGACACGATTGGCTAAGCTTGACGAGTTGCGGCAAGCTGCCAAAACACAGGCAGAAATGCGCTTAAAAAAGAAGCGTGATGAGTTAGGTACAAAGGTCGAAATGCGTGTTCAACAAGCAGAAGCCAATAGACAGCGTATGCTTCGTGCTTATCGGCAAAGGAGGGCAACTCTGAAGGAGAGGACATCTCAGTCATTGATGCGGCGAACGGCTCGAGAGAGCAAGTACAAAGAACTAGTTCGTGCTGCCATGTGCCAAAAGCGTGCAGCTGCTGAGAAGAAGCGGCTGGGATTGCTGGAAGCAGAAAAGAAGCGGGCGCATGCAAGGGTCTTGCAGGTGCTAAAGGTAGCTAGCTCTGTTTCTCACCAGCGAGAGATTGAGAGAAGTGAAATGAAGAACAAGATAGAAGATAAACTGCAGAGGGTATACTTAGTAACATTTTGAAATCCTTGATTTCTTGTCCATTGTAGCATTTCTTTGTAGAAATTAATCTGAGATTGTTTTGCTGATAGGCAAGGAGAAAGAGAGCAGAATATTTAAAGCAGAGAGGAAGACCATATGATATTGCTTTTGATAGTTGGGACACTGTGGATGAGCATGCTGACAACCTTGCCAGAAGATTAGCAAGGTAGTTTGTTCATACTTATTCTCATTTCACCTTATGGTTTCAATGTTTCTTCAATGAATTCTTTTCTACACAATGTCCTCAAATATGAACAAAGTATTATATCATATCTTGATTTGTTCCAGGTCCTGGAGGAATTTCACAAAGCTGAACAAAACAACTGCAGACCTTGCTAAAGCTTATAATGACTTAAATATTAATGAGAAATCCGTGAAGTCTATGCCATTCGATCAGTTTGCATTTCTTATTCAGTCGAGTGGCACTCTTCACACAGCTAAAGCATTGCTTGATCGGCTTGAAACTCGGTACAGATTGTCTAAATGTACTCCTAATACTTCTGGCTGGGATGACATTGATCATCTTCTCAAGCGTGTCGCCTCACCGAGGAAGAAGGAAACACCGAAGAGAGCTGTCTATGGTAGAGTTGAGAAGAAGACTTCATCGAGCAGACAAGCTTCAAGAACTTCTGTTAACATGTCAAGATACCAAGTGAGAATTGTTCTATGTGCTTATATGATACTGAGCCATCCAGATGCTGTAATCAGTGGTCAAGGAGAGCGTGAGAAGGCCTTGGTCAAATCTGCCGAGAAATTTGTGAAGGAGTTAGATTTGCTGATAAAGATACTCCTAAATGGGCCGTTGCCAATTTCTGATGAGGAATCTGACCAAGTAACATCAACTCTTCGCACCTTCAGAACTCAGCTTGCAGCATTTGATTCTGCGTGGTGCTCCTTTTTGAATAGCTTTGTGGTGTGGAAGGCCAAGGATGCTAGGTCGCTGGAGGAGGATTTGGTCAGGGCTGCTTGTCGCCTTGAGCTTTCTATGATTCAAACCTGTAAGATGACTCCTCAAGGGAATGTTGCTCCTCTCTCATATGATATGAAAGCTATCCAAAAACAGGTTCTTCCCTAGCTTTATCCTATTTAAAATTGAAATTTATTAGCCGCTTCTTACTTAATACGAGAGTAATTTTATTCAAACTTCCAAGATTTTCTGTTGTGAACTTAATAATGTCTTGTTCATTGGCCAACGCTTTGCGGGATAAAATAAATGTTAAAAGACTATAAAAAAGATCAATTTGCTTTCTGAAGTTATCCAATTTAATATTTTGGTCTTTCTGAACTTACCCAATTTAATATTATGTTCATTTTGAAGGTATCCAATTTCATGTTTTGATCTTTATGAAGTTATTATGCTGACAAATTTGGACACAACTTTCTCATATTCTGTCATTTAGACTGTTTCATTTTGCAAAAATGCAAATAATGTACCTGTGGCTTCATCAGTTGGTGAGTAAATTTCTCACTCGCGGCTTGGTTTTGATATCACTACCGTGCAATGCAGGTATCTGAAGATCAAGAACTTTTGAGAGAAAAAGTCCTACACCTTGGTGGAATTTCTGGTCTACAGCGTATGGAAAATGCACTTTCTGATACACGAAAGAAATTTTTTGAAGCGGCAGAGAAAAGGAGCCCAATCACTCCATTGACCCCAATTATGTTATCCCCAAGTTCAACATCTTCGTCTTCTCTTGTTACGTCAGATAAAGCAAGTAACTCAACGGCCTCTCAAAAGCAAAGCTCGGTGGTGCGGTCTTTATTTAAGGATGAAGTTGATACCAAGGAGATTAGTCCCTCATTGTTAAGCCATAGCAATTCTAAAATTTCCAGGGAGAGTTTGGACATAGAAAATGTGAGGATTGTCAATGAATATGTTCATGGGGCGCGTCTTGCTTTTGCTGATAGCTCCAGTCCAGATGCTGATCATCAAAGTGACGTCATGGTTTGTAACTTTTCAATCTGCATTACCCATATATAATTTTTTTTATAGGATGACTTTGGAACCTGCATTTTAATAATTTTTATTTGATGTCTAATATCATGACCAGGCAAAATTGAAGGAGTCAATGGAGAAGGCTTTCTGGGATGTTATCATTGAATCTGTGAGACAGGATGAACCTAATTACAGTCGTGTTGTGGATTTGATGGGTGAGGTGAGGGATGGGATTTGTGGAATGGCACCTTATAGCTGGAGACAAGAAATTATTGAAGCTATTGACCTGGAGATTCTAACTCAGGTACCTATTTTATTACGCTCGAAAAGTTGGTTTGTCTTCTCTTTTCCAGCTTTGCTATACCAATCTCTATGACATTTCAGCGAATTTGATCAAAATACTTGCTTGGTTGTTTCGACTTGTAGGTGCTGAATTCGGGGAAATTGGACATAAACTATCTTGGCAAGATCCTAGAATATGCATTAACCACTTTGAGGAAGCTCTCTGCTCCGGCTTATGAGGATGAATTGAAAGAAAAGCACCAGCAATTTATGAAAGATCTGGCGGAGACGTGTTGGGCCACTGGGAACTCAGAGAATGCACAAGTCGTTGCCTTAATTAAGGGCTTGCGCTTTGTTCTAGAGCAAATACAGGTCTTGATTCTGCTTCAGTGTGATTTCATTCTATATAACATGTTTTTCTCATGCAACAGATGGAATTTTAACTAGTTTTAGAGTGCTAATTAGTAACTATTAACTATTAGTAACTCTAAAACTAGTATGGAATTGATGTTGGTGAGCAGTTGATATCTTGTATGTCCGTTAATTTTGTTGATTGCCGTCGGTATATCAAATTAATTTTTTTTTCTTCAAGATTTTGTGATGAGATAATTAAAGCAATGGCGTTTTTTTATACCAGGAACTCAAGCGAGAAATCAGCAAAGCACGTATCAGAATGTTGGAACCATTTCTGAAGGGACCTGATGCATTATATTTTCTCGGAAAAGCATTCACCATTCGCTACGGGCATCCTTCTAATTCTCTGACGGCATTACCCTTGACTGCCAAATGGCTTTCATCTGCACGAGAAGGTAAAGACGAGCAATGGAGTGAACACACGAGCTTACTCTCGGAGTTGACAAGGAGGCAGTACGATTCATCAAATTTTCTTCCTTCGTCCACTCTCCGTACTGGAGGAAGTTCATTAGTTAAAACGAGAGCAAATCAAGCTGACGTGTCTTCAACTTCAAATCCAACAACTTATATTGGTATTAAAAATATACCCTCTTATATTGGTATTAAAAATATACCCTCTTATTCTTTTTCCCTCTGCAAACTGTCACGACTCGTTCTTTTAACACATTGTGTTTTGGCTACAGAAACAATTGACCCTCATTTGGAATGCAAGGGAGACGAGATTGATTTGTTGGTAAGATTAGGCTTGTTGAAGTTGGTAAGCAAGATAACTGGTTTGGGAGAGAGTGAACTTCCAGAAACTATGAACCTTAATCTCTCCAGGCTAAGAAGTGTGCAGTCTCGAGTTCAGAAGATTATTGTGATAGCAACAAGGTATGTTTTTACGAGTGAATGATATTGAAATATTTATTCAATTCAGTCACCTTATTCTCGTAAAATATTAACCTAATAAAATTAACGTAACTGCAGCCTTTTAGTCCTGCGACAAACTCTTCTGAGTCAGCAAATAGTAAGCAGCCAAGCACAGATGGACAGTATTCTTATGGGCAGCGTTAAACGGCTTTCCGAATGTCTGGATTCAGTTGCAGAAGCTGGTCTACAAGACATAATCGAAATACTCACCTCCGCTTTAGAGGAAGAAGACAAGACATCATCGAAGCTACATCCTATGAAGGAAATAATGTCAAGGATGTTAAGCAAAAGCCTGCAAGAAGAAGATGCTGTTTTCACTCGAGTTTCTCGAGCTGTGTACTTGGCTGTAAGAGGAGTTGTGCTTGGTGGAACTGGGAAACGAGGGAGAGAATTGGCTGAGGCGGCACTGCAGAAAGTCGGGGCGGCTCTGCTCGTCGATGAGGTGGTGGAGGCTGCTTCGGCGGTGGTGGTGGCGGCGAAGGTGTCCGTTATCGTTCATGGCCCTTGGTATGCTAATTTGACAAAAGAGTGAACAGTGCTGCTATAGTCAGTTTGGTTGTCTTGTTTGTATATATATTAGGTTTGGTATCTACCTGATTTGTTGTTTGATGCTATGATGTATAAATTAAGGGGTAGGGGTGGGGTGGGGTTGGGTGGTTTGTATATATATATTAGGTTTTGTATCTATCTAATTGGCTTGAAAACAATGAAAAATGTTGGAATATTGCATATAATGAATAAGAAGCTTCTGTTTCTAGCCATTTAATGCTGTGGGGTAAATTTATTAGTTCTTGTGTAGTATATTTGGAAATTTACTTACCATGGTAAGTTCACGGGGAGTTAGATTTTACACCTTGTTATTTAAACCAGATGGATTTGAACCGTAGATTCCACGAAACACACAGACACATATAGGGGTGTAAATGAGACGAGCCGGCTCGCGAGCTTTCGGAGCTTGCTCGAAAAAAACTCGTACTCGAGCTCGAAAAATCGAGCTTGAGCTCGAGCTCACGAGCCCGAGCTTTTTGACGAGTCGAGCTCGAGCTTCATTTCAGTTGTTCGACAGCTCGCGGGCCGGCTCGCGAGCTTTACCTTTTTCCTATATTTTTTAATACATATTATTAATAAAAAATAAAAAAGAATAATATTACTTTTCTAATTTAAAAAAAAAAATTAATAAGACATATATAGTATCAGACTATTGCTAAGACATTAACATTCGAATAAAAAATATAGATTTACTTTATTAGTTAGTTTTAATCTTGTAATTTGTTATTTGATTAAAAAAAAATTGAAATTAATTGAAGGAAAATTTGGTTATACCGAGCTCGAGCTCGAGCTCGGGCTCGTTTGGTATATGAGCTCGAGCACGAGCTCGAGCTCCTCAGAAACAAAACGAGCTCGAGCTCAAAACTATAGGCTCGTCGAGCTCGAGCCTGGTATAGTTGTAGCGAGCTCGAGCTCGAGCTCACAAAATAAGGTGAGCTCGCTTCGAGCTCAGCTCGTTTACACCCCTAACACATATGTGTGTGTAATTATATATGTAGATCAAATTCACCCAGTATTTATGTGTGTGTGTGGTTATATGTATGTAGTTCTATGATTCAAATTCATCCGGTATAAATAACCAGGTATAAGTAACATCTAATTTCTCGATGGGCTTGCTTCTAAAATAAACAAACGGAAATGATTCATTTCTTACAAGATTTATAAACCATAATCAAGATACATAAATATGTATTTGGCAAAACACACAAACATGCAATAAAATCTCAAAGTTCAACTCGATCGACACACACACAAACAAACAAAACATACTCGAAACCTTCACAATGCAAATTTCGACACTAACAAATTTACAGGAACTTTATTTGAACTCCCCAAAAGCAGCCGAACCATTTTTTTTACAACAACCAAAAGCGTCTCGATTTTTTTTCGGTAGGCCCCCACATCATCATCATCAGGTGAGACGGACTTCACCACTAGCATGAACAGCCTTCACTTGCTTTTCGTACTCGTCTTCTTCATCTTCTTCCTCCTCAATGTCGTCCTCGTCTATATCTTCGTCTTTATCCTCATCCTCTACACCTGCCCACCCAAAGGCACGAACCGAACGGGATGCTGGTGGAGGTGTTTTGGCCTCGTCCACAATTTTCATAATCTCCTCCACAGATTGAAGGGAGAATGTAGGGTTTTCTCTACGGTAGTACACGGTTTGAGCGGCGTCTGTTAGCTCTCTTGGTAGATTCTTCAAGAACCATGGGTGTGATTTGATGTCTTTGATCGAGATTCTCTGCAACAAGATACATGGGCATATTTCAATATACAAACAATCTGAAGCTATCATAATTTGGAAGCATTATAAAAGCAGATTGTGTTAAAATCGAACTAGCTCAGAAGAAAATTCGAGTATCGAAAAAAGAGAATACTTACTCTAGATGAATTGGCAACGAATATGCGAGAAAGAAGGTGCCTACAATCTTGAGATATATGGACGTAGTCAGGGATCTTGTATTGAACAGCCATTATCCTCTGCAAAAGAATATCAACTTATTTTGGGACAAATCGAACAATTTAGATTATACATAAAATAATAAGAAATAAAGTCTAGTAGTTACATCAGAAGAAAACCCGAGTTATAAAAGGCTTACTTGGATTGTTTTCCTGAAGTTCTTTGGATCTTCTTGATCTTCAAAAGGATATGCTCCAACGAGCATAACATAAAGTGTCACACCACATGACCATACATCAGCCAGCTGGACAGGAGCCAAACCGAGTCAACAAAAAAATGGGAAGTCAAAGCAAGAAATTCGAATGAGTGAAGAATACCTTACACAAATTAGGGAACTAACATAGATAATACAAATAAATATCAAACTAAAGTAACTAAGAAACAAATACATATATGCAAAATTTAATAACACACTGAAACAAATTATACTAGTAGAATCAATCAGCAAAACAACGTGCTCACCTTGCCATCATATTCTCTTCTAGAGAGAACCTCCGGAGCTATATAAGCAGGAGTGCCAACAGTTGATTTGGGTCTTGAGTGAAGCAGAGACGACTAAACAGCATATTAAAAAACAATACATTAAATACATACTGCATCCAATAAACCTGAACTTCAAACAACTTTATTATTTATTACCTTTGAGTAACCGAAATCACAGATTTTCAGGCGTGGGGCAGGGCTACCATCTAGAAGGGTGTTCTCCAGCTTCAAATCACGATGACATATTTGCTGCAAATAAAAAAGAAAGTAATCCAAACAAACATAATAACCACATGCCGAAAGATAGTCGTGCTTCAGAAATAACCTAAAAAAAAGGCAACTTATATAACACGTTTATCGCACCATCGAGTGGCAGTAGTGGACTCCAGAAATGAGCTGCTGAAAAAAGTACCTCGCCTGAAACAAACACAAGAAATATATACATATATAGACCATGAAATTCAAGACGAAGACACTAATGCTAGTCTCTTTAGTGCATAAAAATCGAAGCTTTAATAATAATAATAATACCTCATCTTCGCTGAATCGACCAGCGTTGCAGATTCTTTCAAAGAGCTCTCCACCAGCAGCATACTCCATGACAATGGCTAGATGAGTCGGAGTCAATACCACCTGTAACAACATCACAAAATCCCAAAGTCGAAATTGTCAGCATGAAAAAAATTCTCACTCTTCTAAAAGAAACCACGGAAACGAAAAATTGGGTCCTTCTCCTCACCTCCCTGAATCTAATTATGTTCGGGTGCCGAAGCGATTTATGATTTATGATCTCTCGCGCCACATTCTCGTCAATCTACAGCCAAATCACAAATTCATTTGCATTGCATTACAACCATTAACAAAAAAATTCACAAATCAATTACACACCCAACAAACGAAACGGATAAACCAGCAACGATCAAGCTAAAAAACCCGAACGCAAAAACGAAAACAAATACGAACACAGTGCAAACAAACCTTATGCCCTCTCTCAATGTATTTCATAGCCACAAGCTCTTTGGTCTCCTTATTTCTCATAAGCCTCGCCACACCGAAATTTCCAGATCCTATATCCTTCACAAGTTCGTATTTTTCCATTTTTCCCTCTTTTATTTCCCACTAACTGCTGCAACAATCTTCTACAAATCAAACCCTAAATCACCACACTCTGCCAAAAACAGCTCAACCTCGGAAACCGCAGCTCCAAAAACTAAAAACTAAAATTCATAAGCTTAAGATTCAATAGCTCAAGCTGAAAGTAACGAAAATTCCGGTTACAAAAACCCCCCAAATTTCGAGCTTGATTTCGCTAATCTCAGAAACCAAACGGAATCTAATAATTACTCAGGTGAAATCAAAATTCCAGCAAAAAAAAAAAACGACGAATATGCCTGGAATCGAAAAGGGAAACAAAAGATTTCCTGAAATAGATACGAATTTGATCTGGATAATTAGGGTTTGCTGAGCTCACAGATTTGGGGGAAAAGGGGATTTTAGCTAACAGAATTTAAATTGGATTTTGCAGTGGGAAAAAAAGTGGATATTTATTGCTGAGATTTGAAGAAAAAGCAAAGAATTTGTAGTCACGAGTGAGAGTTATGCAAAGTGTATCAAAGATATTCTCAAGAACAACTCAGAGCATCTATTTATTTCTTTCTTTTATTTATTTATTTATTTATTTTATATATATATAAATGAAGAAATTAAATTATTTATTTATTTATATTTATTTGGACTTGTTTGTGGGCCCCACTATTGAGGCGGTGTAGAGTGTAAGCCCAGTCCAGTATGAAATTTATAGAACCAACTTTTAGTTGTTCTAGCCTTTCCTTAATTTCTTTCCTTTTTCGGAATACAAAAATTAATTATTCCGTAAAATCGTATCGAACTGTACCAAATATTCGGCTAAATTAAAATTTCGGTACGCCGAAATTTTATATAGGATACGGAACGGAAATATACGATTACATAAGGTAATTATCAAATTACTGGAAAAAAAATTAAAATAAAATAAAATAAATACATCCTCATGTTCTTTTTAAGTATCGTTTAATGTAGATGCACAATAAAAAAAAATACGTATTTGACCAAATTATTATTTCAGAACATCTTATCATATTAGAATTGCAGAATAGCTATCTAATTTGAAGGAGAATTATTAATGGGAATATGTGAAAATATCGAAGAAAAATAGGGGTTTTTCGGATAATATGTGTATCTGAGTTCCAAACGAAGTCCATCTTAAGCAAAACGGCACAACAATTTCGGCAATCGGACATTGTTTAGGCCTTCAAAGCGACTTTAGGAAATATTTAAATAATTAATATAAAATCGTAGAAAAATCAGGTCGCAGATCCGTAAATTGAGTTGTTTTTAAAATTTGGAATTATGTTAGAATTAGGGGTTATCTCATGCAATTTATGATAATGTTTTGGAGTTTCCTAGTTTAATTAGAATTTTTTACTTTATTAGTATAAATAACTGACTTCGGATTTTATTTCTCTTTGTGAATTTTCATTTTTTCTTTATCATATCATTAATTTATCATTCATGTTGTGTAATATTGGAAAAAAATAACAACTAAATATACCTTAAAACTTTAAAGCGACAGTTAATATGAGGAAAAATTATAATGCTAAAGTGATGCTTAAAAAGAAAGAAGAGTGCAAATTATATTATATTATTTTTTTTATTATGTAATTTTTATACTTTTTGTTATGTGATTAATTATAATCATAGTGTAAATTTTAATACATTATTTAATAAGTATGTATAAAATATCATATAAATTAAAATATTTCGTTCTGGATTGCCGACAGTTTGGAAGAAAACCCAAACAAATAATATTTTATTCCCGAAATAAGTAGGAATAAAAATTTGATATTTTTTTTACACTTATTTTCTAAGTGAGTGTAGGAGAATAATTGGTACAACTTGACTAGTTGATTAGAAAGAAATTTCATACGTGGTTGGTTGTGTTTAATGAACGTTGTGTCGTTAGATATTATATTAGCATCCATTGACTTCTTCTTGCGCACACACAAAAATGACCAACATTAACGATGAATTATAAACAAGATTTCGCTACTTGAGATTTACAGTGTACATTAATAAGATTTGTTAAAATAATAAAGACTTCATCTTTAAATTATATGTCCATCTTGTACATAACTCGAACTTCTCGTTTCTTCACACAACTCCTCTATCCACACTTTCTTGGACTTTTTTCCAAAGTTGATCTCCCTTCAGATGGCGGATGATCTCTCTCCGGATCTGTACAACAAACATGCATATGCTGCGTCACAACACTAACGAGGCCGCAATTTTGTTCCACATAATACCCTAGCAAAGTTCGAATACTTTGATAAGTTTTTCTTCAATAAAGGCGCAGAGGTTCTTCACTGATTTTTTAGCTTATATAGACACGAGATAAGCTCTGCAAACACTAGCTTGAACCTAAAGTAAATCGAACGTAAGAAAATATAACCCGACACGATTTCTACACTAAATTTAGATAAAACCAACCAAGTTACTTAATCTAAAATAATTACATGAAAATAAAATAAAGTCATAAATTATTAAAAACTATATAATACATGGATTTTCAATAATTCTCAAAATAATAACATGAAAATAAATCTTTGTCAATTTTTATTTCATATCTTGACAGATTTCCTCAAAACTCTTCCTGAGAAATATATCACCAATAAGCTTTCCATTTGGCATAGACCGGTCAAAATTTCATGTTAACAACAAATAAAGTTTCATTTAGAACAATAAAGTTGCAACATATAAATATTATAACACAGTAAATTCCATGCACGCACAAAGTTATCAAAATAAACTCAGACCAGCAAATCACTAAGAAATATCCAAACATAACGGTAGGAAAATAACCTAACTATTACAGTCCCAAATAAAAAATAAATTAAGGGGACGGCTATATTAAATACCGTTTTTTTCTCACTTCAATATCACCAACATAAAAAATAGAAAATAAATAGATAATGACATTAGTAACCTTAATGAAAATCAATATCACACAAATTTTGTGTGTGGTATTGCTTTTTATTAAGAGTAATAATGCCATTACCTATCTATTATCGATTTATTTTTTTATTTTTATGTTAGTTGGATTGAAGTGAGAAAAAAATGGTATATGTTTTAGCCGCTTCCATAAACTAAAGGCTGCGGGCGGCTATATGCAAGACTAAAACCACTCTCATCTTCTCCATCTTCCAAAACCCACAAGACCTTTCTCCTTCCTCCTCCATAAACCCACAAAACCTAAACATTCAAAATCATCAAAACTCAACAAATCTTACAAAGATGAGAAGTATGGAGTTAGAAGACATCAAAATAGAAGATTCTATGGTGGAAGAACCCAAGAAGGTATGCATTTATGGGTCTTTTTAGCTAGAATATCGTTTTTTCCAAAAAAATCCCGCGCAACGAATTCGACATGTACAGGTCGAATTTTATGGGCCAAAATCGATATTTAGATGTCGATTTTTAGGCATAAAATTCGACATTTGGCAATGTCGAATTTGTGCTATAAATTCGACATGTCAATGTCGATTTTTGCCTATAAAATTCGACGCTTAGGTGTCGATTTGTAGCACAGTTTTTCGACACCTTGGTGTCGATTTTTACCAGTTTCAAATTTATTTTGTTTTTCCTCTTTTTTTGTAAGGTTGAACAAAACGAGGAATTAGCAATTGACTACTCTTTTTTCAAATAACAAATTTAATTTGTTTTTCCTCTTTTTCACTCATGATTGTGAACGGCGGGGCTGGCGGCGGTGGCGATCGGTGGTGGAGCTTGGGCGGCGGAGCTTTGACGGCGGAGAAGGTGGGCGTAGATGGAGAAGGTGGGCGTAGGTAGGGTTGGGGGGGGGGGGGGGGGGGCTTTTTTTTTTTTTAAATCAAGCCATTTTTTCCCCATATGTGGAATTGCGCCGGCCAGGGAAAAAAAAAACCATTTTATTTTCGGGGTACTCTGGTCTTTCCCCCCCAAAAAAAAACGAACTTCTTCGGAAAATTTCTGTAAATTTGGACCTGCCCCAGGGATTTGTTGCGCTTATACACGCCATTTGTTGGGACCCCCATTTT